TTGAAGGACTCGGGGTCCTACTGTGATCAGGGAAAAGAGATTAAAGAAAGTTCAAATTCCGAGCAGATGGACCTAATTCTTAAGGACATTCAAACTACATTAGAAGGAAAAAGAGTGGTGAAACAGCTTGAAAGGAATGGCAAAGAGAAACGATAAAGCAATGATAGTGAAGGTGGAGAAACGATAAAGCTTTAAGGGTCTACAGCTTTCGCATCTCCCTATTTGGTACTCTTATTTTGTACTTTTTCTATTAGTGTGCACCTAAGTGTGACTATTTAATAGTGCAGTTGTACATCATTTATAGTGCGGTTGTACATCATTTATACTTGCTGTTTACAATTAGTCAATTACTTCACATTATACGAGAGTATGAGACTACTCTATTGACTTGCTCTGTATTAAATTGTCATAAAAACACGTTGTTATAGATTTTTTAAATTGTCATCTAAAAAGAAGTTAACAATTACTACGTACTATATATATATATATAATATATATATAAACAGTAATGTGGATCAGAGTATTAGTAATACATGCTGTCGTTCGTTTGAATTATGCCTGCTAACCCCGTGGATTATAGTTTACATCACCCTTCTAACTACTTCGTATTACATAAATGGCAACTCGGAAGTAATCGGTGTACTTTTTCTCCATACTAATATATACGAAAAGTGATTAAAGGAGCCAACTTCCTGAAATAAAAATGAATACGGAAGTATACAAAAAAAAGAGAGATTAAAGATAGGGTGCATACAACACATTAAACAATGTAATGAATCACACAGTATATTTTTAAAATTTTAAGGGATAGAATAAGACTTAAAATGGCTTGATGCTTTACAAATGGTACACATAGTGAGCATTACAAACGGATGAAACTGTATGGATCTGGAAAAAGGAAAAGGTAGGGCAGTTCTTTTTTTAAGAAGTTCCTTACTATAATTATCTAACTGGATGAACACAATCTGTTAAAAGCATTTCTGAAATGAAAAAGTCTTGCAACTAAACAAGCATAAGACAATCTATATAAAAAAATACTTAAACTGAAAAGTGGACATCAAGTGTTTAAAACCACACATAAATACGAAGTATGAAGTATATGAGAATATTAATTAGGCTGAAATAACAAAAACCTGCAGCAAGCATTTTGTGAAAAAAGTCAAAGACAACAGTCTCATTAAGTAAAATCTATCAATTGAGTTACTTTTTCAGGAGAAATGGCTAAAAGAATGGAATTTTTACTCTGACCTATTCATCATAAAAATTATACAATTCTGTTTATGTAATTTAAATAAATATATAAGAATCATAAAGAACTGAAATTACATCATAAAATGATATTCAACCGGATTTAAAACAAATCGTCGTTAAGCTGCAAGAGTAATGAATAATCACATCTCAAGCTAAAATGAGTTCATAAGTGTCGGTTTGTATAAAAAAATAACTACAACTAAAATCATAGAGTGGATACACTATATCAAATTGTAAAATAACCCAAATCAGACATTAGAAGAAGAAAATCCAAACTTACCTACTCTCTGACATGAGGGGCGACATTGATGGTGTTGGACATCACCTTGCGTGGAGCTTTCGGCCAGGCGACAACGGTGGTGTTGATGTTTGTTGATCGGAAGAAGTAGAGTCGTAGAGATGGGGGGACGTCTTCGACACCCAGGGAGATCGGTGTTGAGGGTGCAATGAGTTGATTGGGGGCAGATTATGTTTTTTTTTGTATTCAGACTGGACCAATGTTAATATGGGCCAAGTTCTAAACAGGTTTAAATATATTGGACTGTCCAAATAAGAGTGGTAAACTTAGAGCCCGTTTATATCAAAACGGCTGAATCGCTTATTCTACTGAAATTCATGAACTTCTGGCTGAAGTGGCTGAAACGTCAGATTCTACTGATTTACTAAAAAATAATATTTCAAATATTTTTTTAACAAAATAAAAAAAAAGTATATGTAAAAATGGCTAAAATGGTTATCTACAGTAATTTCAACCAATACAACCATAAAAGTAACTATAACCTTACTTTTCGCTATCATTACGCAATTCAACGCATGAAATCAAAAATCATGTGTTTGGTGAAAAAATTTGACCGATAAGCCGAAAAACTGAGCTACCAAACATGCTCTTAATAGTTAATGTAAAATTCGATATAAAAATTTATACAAAAAATTCTTCGTATAGCAAAATACAAAGAATTTATACGTGATTTGTGTGTTTTAATGTGTTTTAGATTTCTTAAGTTAAATTGTAAGAACTTATACGAGCATCCCAAAATACTAACTTAACCATTTTATAACTTTTTAGGAAATAATTAAAAAAAATCTGATACTTTTAATACTTAAAACATAAGTATTTGTAATCATATAAACTAGAGCAGCATCTTATGAAGTTTAATGGTAAATGTTGCGCCTTCATGTAGAAGTTTTATCAAAATGTGTAATTATTTTTTGACCACCAATATTGAATCATTTATAATATTAAATTTGAAAAAGGAGTTTTTACTTTTAGTCCTGTATTGATATGCATTCTAATATTATGTATGTAGTAGAGGTAGATCATTTGAAACTGAACTCTAAAATAGTGGAGAAACATTTAAAAGCCCCGTTACCGCATAGTCAATTTGCTACGGGCATTCGAATATTACCTACGTAGTAAATGTAAATGATTTGAAACGCAAGCATAAAGAATGGAGAAACGTTAAAAAGCCCCTCTTATTGATATTTGTGATGGTATATTACATATGTATTTATAATATTATTAAAAAATCATTTGGTGGAATATTATACTTCCTCCGTTCTTAAATAAGTGCAAGTGTCAACATTTCACACTTGGCGAGACACAACTTTGACCATTAATATATAATTCTTTATTAGTAAAAAAATTAAAAAAAATAGATTTTGAAAATATACAATGAGGCAAATTTGACAATATTTTTTCAAGAAAGTATATTAATTAGACCTGGACTCGGGCCGGGCGGCCCGGTTACTGTGAGGCCCGGCCCGGCCCGGAGCCCGGTGGGCCCACCGGTTCGGTTCGGCCGGCCCGGCTGCTGGGCGGTTCGGGCTCGGGCCGAGGTTTTGGCGAACCGGCCCGGCCGGTTCGGGCCCGGTTCGGTTCGATTTTTAATTTTTTTTTTTTGATTTTTTTTAAGTTTTGGGTTGGATTAGGTATTTTGGGCCATTTGAGGTGGTTTGGGGTAGTTTGGGGTTGAGGGGGAGGGGTTGGGGGTTAAATAGAATAGCCAAAAAAAAAAAAAATCCGGGTAGGCCCGGCCCGGCCCGGCCCGGTTTGGCCCAGAACCGGAACCGGAACCGCCCACCGGCGGTTCGGGCCCGGGCCCAACTATCCTGGCCCGAGGCCCGGCCGGGCCCAGGCCCGAACCGGCCCGAGTCCAGGTCTAATATTAATACAGTATTTAAGTAAACGTAGTCAAAGTAGAACATGTGAATAGTGTAAAATTCAACATGTTGCACTTATTTAAGAACGGAAGTAATAGTATGCATATGCTTTGTCATTAGAAATTAGATTATTTTTGGCGTTTATATATACTCATAAACAAAGATTGTTTTAACTTAGCTTCATCTCAAAACTTTAATCTTACATATCTGATGGATCTCTATTTCATAATATCACAAGTGTTACGACTTCACTTTATCCTCCCTATCCTTTATATATCATAAATATATCATAAATAAAATACAAAAAAAAAAGAACTTTTGTCCCGTGCAACGCACGGGTTACATACTAGTTATGTAAAAATTAAATACCTCCAACTTACTAAATAATTTCTATAAAGACATTATATTACCATGACTTGTGGGAATTGAAGCATTTTAATTAATATTTCAATTTCAAAGTGTAAATTGAAATACTATTGGTTTTTCATTCATTTTGCTTAAATTCTAATATGCACCGTAGACATTTTGAAATAAAGGGTAACGTAGGAAAGGTTTTTTTTTTTTGAAGAACGTAGGAAAGGTATTTAAGTAACGGAGGAAGAACATCACTAACGTAGTAAGGGTAATTTAGTACATGAGAAAGTAAGGTGTAATTTATAAAAGATAAGGTACAACATCTTATGCAAACAATGTATTGACATAAAAATGGGTACCAACCATCATTCACAAATATAAGGTTTTTAGATGAGTTAATGTTACTCTAATAAGACTAATTTGTCCTTTGTTTAATTAAAATCAAATGAGTTCACGTTAATAGGAGTTCGATCACGCCAATGCACAATATGCACTATCGTTTCCAATCAATTTTAAAATTTATGCTCCATCCAATAGTTTTCACCCATGTAGCAAACACTTATTATTTTTGTAAAACATTATAAGTTCCTATTTTAACAAAAAAAAATTCCACTAAAAAATGTCAAATTAATTTTTTTATGATCTTTGCTATGACACCAAATACATCTATAATTTTTTTAAAAATAAAATTATTCTGATAAAATGAAACATCCAAATATTGTCGAGCATTGTATGCGACGAATTTAATGAAACAGAAAAAGATAAAATTAAATAAAAATAGTGAGATAGATGATTTGAGATAAATAAATAAATACCTTGTAAGTGTGAAAGTTCAGAGTGCTATTTCTTAAAATAATCTCCATATTCATCCCTCATTATATCTAATGATGGTAAAAGTTTGTGAGACCATTATGATGTCACATTGTTGCATTGTGACATTGTTATATTTATATAATAATCGTTTGATGATATGTACTACCTTCGTGTTAAATACGTCAACAGTCAACTTTTCACGTTTATCGATGCAGAACTTTAATCATTAGTATATTTAATTATTTTATTAAAAAATATTAAAAATAAGATTTTGAAAATATATGATTAGATAAATGTTTTATAAAAATAAATTATTAATACATTAATTAATACATTAGATAAATATATCATTAAGTAAAACATGTCAATAATGTAAAATTAATGTAAAGTTTAACTTGTTGCATTCAATTATGAACGGGATAGTATATTTTAATGATAGATATATTTTAGAAAGAAAAAATTTAAGAAGAGGTGAAAACTTATCTTTTATTTTGGGGAAAACTATCAAATAAGCCCCTCTACTTTTAAAAAAAATCAATTAGACCCCCCAACTAAAATTTCACTCAAATAAACCCTCGAACCTCTTTTTAAAATAGCAAATCCCCCCTTTTAACCGATAGCTCCCAAATCCCGGTTAGATTGCACATGTGGCGTATGACATGGCTTTTTTCCTTTCTCTCTTTTTCTTTTTCTCTTTCTTTTTCATTTTCCTTTTCCATTTCTTTCCTTTCCTCTGCTTCTTCACTCCCGCACCCTTCTTCCCTGCGCACACCTGCACTTATTTTCTTCCTTTCCCGTTCTCTTCTTTCCCTACTTCTCCTGCCTCACTTCACCCTTCTCACCTTCCTCCGCCTTCACTCCAGCTCCCTACTTCTCCTCCGTCGACTACGGTGGGACCGAATTGAAGTTGCGGCAGATCTGTAAAAGGCCGGCCTTGAGGTCTCACGGAGCACCGTCTCCGAACCGGAAGCTTCAACGGAGCACCTTCACTGACTTCCAAGCCATCCAATCGAGGGAAGAGGACGACAGACCCAGCGAGGAGGCGTCCGCCACTCCGACGTGCGATGGATACTCCAGAATCTCCGACGACGAGGGTTTGTCTCAAGCAACGGTGTGAAGGGACGACGACCGGTCGGTGGGAATTGGGAGAGGAAAGAAGAAAATGGGAGAAGAAAGGGTGAAGGAGGAAGGGGGTTGCTGGAAGCCTGTTACGGGCGTAGGAGGAGGAGAAAGGGGAAGGACTGAAGCCAAGGAGAAGGGAAAAAGAAAGGAAAAAGAAAAAGAAAATGGAAAAAAATGAAAACTGCCACGTGGGTCACCACGTGTGCACAGTAACCGGGTAAGCAATTCATTACCGGTAAAAAGGGGAGATTTGCCACTTTAAAATAGGTTGGAGGGTTTGATTGAGCAAAATTTCAGTTGGGGGGTGTAATTGATTTTTTTTAAAAGTATGGGGGCTTTTTTGATAGTTTTCCCTTTATTTTGTTGTTGTTGGGAACTTATCTTTTTATTTAAAAATCTATAAAAGATACGGAGTAAGTGACTAACAAGTAAATAGGACAAATTAACAAGATGTGCATTGCTGTATTCGAATGGAGAGCTCATCCGCTTTACCCATTTCTTATGTTCCTCAACCGGGATGAATACCATGACCGGTGCCCAATACTTCCCTTCATTTTGTATTTTGCTATGATGATTATTATTATGCTTGAGCTCAATTTAATGATTTTGCTTGATGATAAGGCCAACGAAGGCTCTTGGGCGGTGGGAGGAGGATGGCGAGATTGTTGGGGGAAGAGACTGTGTTGCCGGCGGGACTTGGCTGGGCTGTACCAAGGGCAAAATTGCTTTCCTTACCAACGTCCGGGAAAAGGAGCTCAACCTCTCGTCTTCTCAATCCAAAAGCAGGGGTGAACTCCCACTTCGCTTCTTAAAGGTACCCACCCAATTGCCCCTATCAATTCTCAACATCTTACAATCATCAGCATACTCATAGCTTCTTATTTTGTTTTGCCGTGTCAAGCATAAAACGATCCATTTCCTTTGGCTATATTGCAGTGAAAAAACAAATTAGGTTTTTCCCTTGCTTTCCACGGCTAAAAGTCTGGTTTTCTTCGAATACACTTCTATGGGGCCTAAAAAGTTTTTCACGTATCACTCTTTTGTTTTAAACTTCTCATAGATGGAATAAAAAACTGTACTTTCAAGGTTCATTTAGAAAGCAGAAATGAACAGGGAAACAAAAAGGAAGGACTATCTAGAGGAAAATGTAAAGGTAACAATGCAAAAGATAGATGAAAAATAGTTCTAATAAAATTATTCTATAAAATTGTTGATACTCATTTATGTTTATTTACTTATGTCCATAATATAAATACTAATATTACTAATTAAATGTATATGAAAAATTGAAACACTAATGATATTTAGAGCCCGTCGGATAACCCCTAATTTTGACCTTATCAGTCTTGTTAGCCAAATTAAGATTCATAATTAAGGTTGGAGTTATTTATTTGGCTAACTTTGTTGAAGCTACTATAGAGATCATTTTAGTTATTTTCATATAATTTTTCCGTAAATTGATTTATAAAATATATTTTAAATATAATTGTTCCATAATTCAGCCAATTCAACCATAACTTACAAAATTTAAGCAAATTCAGCCGACTCAGCCAATTTCAGTGTTACCTAACATGCTCTTAATTTTCCTATTGCAATTTTTCTAAGGTACTGTTTCAGTTCTCTACAAACACATGTTTGAACCTGTTGATTTCGCTTCCGCAAAGTTTTTTGTCTTTGTTTTTGTTTGTGTTTGTTAAAATCTCTAAAGTTTGCTTGCACTATTGTTATTATTATCTTAATTTATATTTTTAATGTTCAAGTGATGGTAATGTTTGTGGTCTCAGAGCAATAAGAGCCCTCATGATTTTGCGGAGGAACTTATGGGAGAAGCTGACCTTTTTGGTGGGTTTAACCTGGTGGTGGTTGATCTCTGTTCGATGATTGTGCTTTACATGACCAATAGACCAAAGGGAAGAGGTGGAGTATTAGTTACAGAGGTATCACCTGGTATCCATGTCTTGACTAATGCAACCTTGGACTCTCCATGGCCCAAGGTAAATAATTATTAAGCTTTTAATGAATGATTGAATTACATTCTTCTTAATCAAATGTTTGCTGTAGTATCATCATTAACATCATCATACATGATGCAGTGCACTAATGCACCATATGTCCAACACCTTTGAGTAGGTAATATGCAATTTATTTTTGTGTCAGATAAGGATTTTCTAAATTTTGCAACTATAGATTGCAACTACAAATTCACTTATAGGGATAGAGCCTCGAACTTGAAAAAAAATGTCAAATAAGGCCATATTTAGGATGCTCTGTCCGGCCGACGCCATTTGGGGTGGTTCCCGGTTGAAAGCGCAGTTATCTTCATGAATTCATTTGAATGCCTTCCCGATTGAATTGTTAGTTCAAATTTAATATGAGTAAATTAGACTTAATGAATAAGATTCTCAAAAAAATTCATCAAAAAATTCCACCGGGAACCACCCCAAATGGCGTCGGCCGGACAGAGCATCCTAAATATGGCCTTATTTGACATTTTTTTTCAAGTTCGAGGCCCTATCTGACCCTTATCCCTTACATATATAATTACTTACTTATAGATTTAACAAATAAAATGACTAGATTATTCAGTCTATTGCTTCTTAAGAGAATTGCAACATAAAGGCATCTATTAGGATGTTTTTACTTGGACTGAAATTTGTTGGTTTGGTCTGTTTAAGTCTGGTCTGATAAATGTCTGGTCTTTGTGTATTTCATGACTATGCAAGTCTGGTCTGGTTTAGTCTGGTTTGGTCTGATATGGTCTGTGTGTTTTTGTATGACTTTACAGCGTTGAGATCATTTCATTTTCATTTTCATTTACCCCAGTGCCGCAAAGGCTCCCACCTATGGTGGGGTAAGGGGGCCGGATGTACGCAGTCTTACCCTGTACTAACGCACAAAGAGACTGTTTCCGGATGACCCATAGTGAAAATCGCGTCCAAAATTGCATGGACTGACTGCTGTTTCATAACAAAGAAGCGCAGACATTTTAGTGAGCCATTTTGCTTTATTCCATCATATTCTCAAGCCAAAAAAGAATGAATCTTAATCTCCATTGCAAATGATGGAAATACTTTACAGCATTGAGATACTCTATATTAATTGACTGGTACTATAAACTTAATGTCAGCAACCTCACCGAGTTGGGATCTTAAGGTGGTTGTGATGATGGTGAGATAGCTATTCTTGTAGTTCAAATAGTTATTCTTTGCTATTAGTGTAGTATTTAGTTGAAAAAGTCAGGTCTTTGAGTTGTTTTCTCCGCCAGTGTAGGAGACCATGTCATTTTATGAGACTGAAATGGAACCTAAAATACTTAATTACTTGAGCATACATTCACTATAAAACACTTTATTTTGTTTGTGTTTGTTTTGGTTGAAGTCTCAACGGCTACAAAAAAAGTTTAAGTTGGTATTGGACGAATACAGTGAATCTGAAATTCCTGTGGAATCTGTGGCAAAAGAATTGATGATAGACACGACAAAAGACGCCGAGCTTCCTGGGGTCTACTCGCCTGAATTGGAGTTTCATTTGAGTTCCATTTTTGTTGAAGCATACAGATCTAAGGTTTTATCTCTCTCTGCACTGTTTTTTGTTGCACAGTTAATCATTCTATATACATAACGATATGGCTTGGCTCTCTCTGTAATGATATATGATGTTTATGTTTTGGGCGGCGGCATGTAGGGTGTGTGTTATGGAACAAGAAGCACCTCAGCTTTGGCAGTGGACAATTGCTCTGAAGTCAAATTTTATGAGAGGTCGCTTATGAATGGTGGTTCGTGGGAGGAACGCACCATGTCCTTCAAGGCTGTTTGATTACGTGCGTACTCTCTGAAAATTATTAGAATAAGTCTAAAGTTACACCTTCATGTTGCACTAAAAGATTCGACAAAGTGAAAATAAGTTATACAAATGTGAGATCGTAGAATGTAGATTCGATGATGTGAGAACGTATTGCACTAAAATATTAAAACATGTTGTACTAATATGAGAAATGAGAATAAATTTCGGCCAATGGATTCGACGATGTTGTACTAAAATGACTTCATGTTGGGCGGTGGATTGGCTCTCGATATGGAGGTTCGGTTGACCAGGGAATTGACAAGGGTTTTTCTTCTAGCCTTGATGTCCCTTCCAGCAACATCAACGTACTACATCTGTCTAAAAAAACTTTGCCATTTTCGTAATTTTGACCAACTATATATTTTTAATGGAAATTATTTATAATATAAAAATTATATGAAAATGTTTTTTGTTCAAAGTACTTTCATAAAAGTATAAAATTTATAATTTACATAATATTATACTAATTAAAATCATGACTCAAATTTTATGAAATGACAATTTTTTGGACGGGGGTAGTATTATACAAGCAGAATGAGGAGCATGAGGACCCGTTAATGTGTATTGGTGGTAGAAATGAAATCAGTGAAGAATCACCTCTTCAAGCTTCCCGTCATCCCGTGTAGAGCATACTGAAGAATCACCTCTTCAAGCTTCCCGTCATCCCGTGTAGAGCATACTCAATCTACCTCTTGGCCACTTGGGGCTCTAATGTGGAGGGTGATGTAATGGTATATTAGTATATAGATTGTTTATAGATTAGGAGCTGCTAGATCGACTACTTGAACCAAAAATAACGTTAGTCGAATCTCAAACATTTCCAAGGAGGGCATGCATTCAAGCAAAAAGGGGTCAACAATGGGCTCTTTTTTTCATTTATAGGGATCAACGGTATTCTCGAAGGGTCATTTTGAATCTGACTTTGAACGATGAGGGGCATATTGGGAATAGAACGAGTTGTTTGGACCTCTCTAATGCATTGGTCGAGACAGGAGAAGATGGGTATATTGTTTGATTTATTATCGTTTGGACCTCTAATTCTCTAAGGGTCAGTTTGGTCCTCTAAGTTGCAAAAAAGGGGTCAAATAAGTCCTTATATAGAAGTTTCTGTCCGGACGTGCCATTTGAGGTGGCTTCCGGTGGAATTTTTTGATGAATTTTTTTGAGCATCTTATTCATTAAGTCTAGTTTACTCATACCAAATTTCAGATAAAAATTCAATGGGGAAGACATTCAAATGAATTCTTGAAGATAACTGTGCCGTTAAAAGCGCTGTTATCTTCAAGAATTCATTTGAATGTCTTCCCGATTGAATTTTTAGCTGAAATTTGGTATGAGTAAACTAGACTTAATGAATAAGATGTTCAAAAAAATTTATCACAAAATTCCACCTGGAGCCACCTCAAATGGCACGTCCGGACAGAATCTTCTATATAAGGACTTATTTGACGCTTTTTTTTGCAATTTCGAGGACCAAACTGATCCTTTACTCCTTTTTTTTTGCATTTATATACATAAACATTAAATATGGTTAATGGTCATCCATAATTCTCTTAAATGAAATGTAATTAGGTTCACGAGTTTTTGAGTGGCTTCGCATACAAAGAGGGTAGGAGAATAAGGTGTGGGGTTGTATGTCATCCAGATGATCGACCTCTGCATATTAGTTTTGCTATCAAAAATAAAAAATAGTGGCCGGCGCGGCCTAGCTTCTTAATTACGTACATCTGCTTGGACAAATTAATAAGTGAGCTAGCTTGTTTCATGCATGCATGCCATATTTGATGAAATATTTGCATGCAATGCATGCTGTATATATTATACAAACAATTAATTATGATTAATTAAAAGTTGAGAATGGCATCGAAGAAAGGCATTCGAAGCCCAGAGGGAAGATCTTCTCAAGGAAATAATCAGCGGACGACAGGGGGTGGCGGACAAACAGTGAAATTCGCGCGAAGAACATCAAGCGGGCGATATGTGAGCCTGTCAAGGGAAGACCTGGACATGTCGGGCGAACTGTCCTCCGGCGATTACATGAATTACACAGTCCACATTCCTCCGACGCCGGATAACCAGCCAATGGACGACACACCATCGACGTCGGTGGCCGCCAAAGCTGAGGAGCAGTACGTGTCCAATTCACTGTTCACAGGTGGGTTCAATAGCGTGACGCGGGCGCACCTTATGGACAAGGTCATTGAATCTGATGTAACGCACCCCCAGATGGCTGGATCCAAGGGCTCCTCTTGTGCCATGCCAGCTTGCGACGGCAAAATCATGAAAGACGAACGAGGAAATGATGTCACCCCCTGCGAATGCAGGTAATCAACTTATATCAATTCACATATCCAAATTTAACATATTCCAATACTAAATTTGACACAAATTTGTGACACATAGGCACAAATTCTTATCACAACTTTATGCTAATTTTTCCGAGACAAGAACTTTCGAAATCCATTTCTACACAAATTCACAGTGACCCGTGAACCTGTGCCAAATTTATGACAATGTCCTTGTAGTTGTCGCTTTCTAAATATGTAAAACTCAATTACTTATACTAATTTTAATATTATTAGGAAAATGTTAATTTTATCTTTAATTATGCATAATTAAAGATAAAATGATGAATTCATTTCAAGAAATCAAGATGTAAAAATAACCACAAAGCACTTAATATAATCTTATTTTTATCTTTTACTACGTATTTTATAGAAAAACAACCTGATACAAATTTATTTGAAATGGTTATATGCAACAACAATCAAGATCAAAACCCTACAATATTAGTTGGGGACATGGGCTTCAATTGTAAGGCATTTTTCTTATTCAACACAGCTATAGTTTTTTCTAGCAGTTTCTACGATATCTGAGTATAAAAAATTCATCTAAAAACTAATACTATTCAACCGAATTAGAAGCGGGGACAATGGTCTAGTAAATGTCTGGTCTCTATGTATTTTATAACTATCCAAGTCTGGTATGGGACTGAAAACAGTCAAAGTGAAATCATCCTGTGTACTACTAGTATTTTTAGGAACGGAAGCGGGCACTTGCCCCTCATGCCCCATAGGCCCTCCATTGAGTCTCGACGTGAGTAGAGGTCTGCAAAAATGGATTTTGCGATTCGAGCGTGCGACTTGGGTATTGGTATAGATAACTGGAGATTTGGGGTTATGTTACAAGTATTAAGGGAAAAATGTTAATTTAAAGTCTTATTTAGAGAATACTAGTATAAAACATGAGCTCATTTGGAAACTTTGACCATATTTTATTTCTATTCGGGGAAATTTGCTAATTACAGAATTTTGGTTGTTTCATCAGGTTCAAAATATGCGGAGACTGTTACATGGACGCCCAAAAAGATTCGGGGATGTGTCCAGGATGTAAGGAACCGTACAAAGTTGGGGAGTATGAAGAAGATGTAGCAGCACCGGAGTATTCTCGAGGAGGAGCACTGTCTTTGCCGGGGCTAGGCGGTTCCAAAAGGGACAACACCAGGAATAATAATAACAACAACAATAATGATAATAATATGTCGATGATGAAAAGGAACCAAACCGGAGAGTTCGATCACAACAAGTGGTTGTTCGAGACACAGGGCACTTATGGGTATGGTAATGCCTATTGGCCTCCCGACGATATATATGGAGAGGACGATGGTCATGGAATGAAAGCAATGTTGGATACATCTGCCGATAAACCTTGGAAGCCACTCAGTCGCAAATTGCCAATTCCAAATAGCATCATCAGCCCATATAGGTAATTACTTGCTTGATTCCTATCACAAATCTTCAAATATGAGTATCATTATTTTCTTCTTAAAATTGGACCCATATTCTTGAATTTTTATTCTTCTAATAGGACTGTACAAATTATACAGAGTATGCTGGTAAGAAAATATATTTAATTCTAGGGAAAAGGGTTAAATAGACCCTCAAACTTACATAAAAAGGTCAAATAAGCCCTCATATAGGAGGCTCGGTCCGGCCGTCGTCATTTGGGGCGGTTCCCGGTGGAATTTTTTGATGAATTTTTTTGAGCATCTTATTCACTAAGTTTAGTTTACTCATTCCAAATTTCAGCTAAAACTTCAATCGGGAAGACATTCAAATGAATTCTTGAAGATAACTGTGCAATTATTTTCAAGAATTCATTTGAATGCCTTCCCGATTGAAGTTTTAGCTTAAATTTGGTATGATTAAACTAGACTTAGTGAATAAGATGGTCAAAAAAATTCATCAAAAAATTCCACCGGGAACCGCCCCAAAAGGCTATGACCGGACAGAGCCTCCTATATAAGGGCTTATTTGACCTTTTTATGTAAGTTTGAGGGCCTATTTGACCCTTTTCCCTTAATTCTATTATAGAAATTTTGAGCAATTTCTTTAGAAATTTATTCTTTTTTAGCTAGTACGTGAATGAGTGATGTATGACGAAGAAAGGCTATCATTTGAAAAAAGTGACTTGCTATGAGATTTAAGTCATGGGTCGTAGCTAAATTTTGATCGACCACTCTACATGTTTTTTGTAGACCTCAATCCCATGCAACTCTACTATACTATCAATATGTACATGAAGCATGTGATTATATATATATTTCAGGTACAATAAACGATTTAATTAATGCCCGGAGGAATTGAATGGATATGCAGGTTGCTGATTGCAGTTCGGCTGGTAGTGCTGTGTTTCTTCTTAACATGGAGGATAAAACATCCAAATGATGACGCAATATGGCTGTGGGTGATGTCAGTGACATGTGAAATATGGTTCGCCTTCTCATGGATCTTAGACCAAATCCCGAAGGTGAGTCCTTGCAACCGTAGCACAGACTTGGAGGTATTACGGGAAAAATTTGAGCTGCCATCGCCGTCAAACCCGACAGGCCGGTCGGACCTGCCTGGGGTGGACTTCTTTGTGTCGACGGCAGATCCGGAGAAAGAGCCGCCTCTGGTGACGGCGAACACGATCCTGTCAATACTAGCGGTGGATTACCCAGTGGAGAAAGTGGCATGCTACATATCGGACGATGGGGGGGCGCTGCTAACGTTCGAGGCAATGGCGGAGGCGTGCAGCTTCGCGGAACTGTGGGTGCCATTTTGCAAGAAGCACGAGATCGAGCCGAGGAATCCAGAGAGTTACTTCAACCTGAAGGGGGACCCAACGAAGAACAAGAAACGGACGGACTTTGTGAAGGATAGGAGGAGGGTGAAGAGGGAGTACGAGGAGTTCAAGGTGAGGATAAACGGCCTGCCAGACTCGATCAGGAGGAGGTCAGACGCATTCAACGCGAGGGAGGAGATGAAGATGCTAAAGCAGATGAGGGAGGGGGCGGGGGAAGTGATGCAGGTAAGGAAGGCGACGTGGATGGCGGATGGGAGCCACTGGCCTGGGACATGGGCAGCGCCGAGTGCGGACCACGCCAAGGGTGACCACGCGGGCATACTGCAGGTGATGCTGAAGCCGCCAAGCTGTGACCCGCTGATGGGAGGCGGGGGGCATCAGCTGGACTTGGCGGACGTGGACATACGGCTGCCCATGTTTGTGTACATGTCGCGGGAGAAGCGAAGAGGGTACGAGCACAACAAGAAAGCGGGGGCGATGAACGCACTGGTACGTTGTTCTGCAGTGCTCTCCAATGGTCCCTTCATGCTCAACCTCGACTGTGACCACTACATCTACAACTGTCGAGCAGTGCGGGAAGGGATGTGCTTCATGATGGACCGGGGCGGGGAGGACATCTGCTACATCCAGTTCCCCCAGCGCTTTGAAGGCATTGACCCCTCCGACCGCTATGCCAACCACAATACCGTCTTCTTCGATGGCAACATGCGCGCCCTCGATGGCATCCAGGGCCCAGTCTACGTCGGCACGGGAACCATGTTCCGAAGATTTGCAATCTATGGCTTTGACCCACCCGCTCGCCCACCTGCCAAATCCTCCGGCTTTGACAATAATAATGATGCTCGCCCCCTCAACCCCATTGACCTTGACCCCGACCTTGACGTCCATCTCCTCCCCAAGCGCTTCGGGAACTCCACTTTGCTCGCAGAATCCATACCCATAGCTGAGTTCCATGGCCGTCCCATTGCTGATCACCCTGCCATTAAGTATGGCCGACCGCCGGGTATCCTCCGTCTCCCCCGCCCGCCGTTAGATGCTGCCACAGTTGCCGAAGCTGTCTCTGTCATTTCTTGTTGGTATGTTCACATCCATGCATCTTGTAATTACTTACTACTATCAAATTTCTATATACCGGCTACTGCTGGAGTATTTATTGATTGAAATTGGTCGTCAAACAAAAAAAAATCCCTATATGGGACTAAAATAGGAACATAGTTGATAAATATGATTTTCATTATTGTATTCCCAAAATAAGAAATATTCACTCCTATTTTGGAAAGTTTTAATCAATTTATTCTTTTAATACAACTAAATAAATCCTATTGAGAGAATAAAACATAGTTGGTCCTATTTTAAAATTTGTCTATGTTTTGATTCTATATTGAGCAATTTCTAAGCAAAACAATCATGCATGCATGCAGGTATGAAGACAAGACAGAGTGGGGCGACAGGGTGGGGTGGATTTATGGCTCGGTCACCGAAGATGTGGTGACGGGATATCGCATGCACAACCGTGGGTGGCGCTCCGTCTACTGCATCACCAAGAGAGACGCCTTCCGCGGCTCCGCCCCCATCAACCTCACTGACCGCCTCCATCAGGTCCTTCGTTGGGCCACTGGCTCCGTCGAGATCTTCTTCTCCCGCAACAACGCCATCTTCGCCTCTCGCCGCCTCAAGTTCCTCCAACGTCTCGCTTACCTCAACGTCGGCATCTACCCTTTCACCTCCATCTGCCTTCTAGTCTACTGCTTCCTCCCCGCCCTCTCTCTCATCTCGGGACACTTCATCGTCAAGAACCTCAACATCGCTTTCTTGCTCTACCTCCTCACCATCACCATCTGCCTCATCTCCCTTGCCCTCTTGGAGGTGAGGTGGTCCGGCGTCGGTTTAGAGGAGTGGTGGCGCAACGAACAGTTCTGGCTCACTTCCGGCACCAGTGCCCACCTCGCAGCTGTAGTCCAAGGCCTCCTCAAAGTCATTGCCGGCATTGAGATCTCCTTCACCCTCACGTCCAAGTCCGCCGGTGAGGACAATGATGACATCTATGCCGAGCTCTACCTTGTCAAGTGGAGTTCACTTATGATCCCACCCATCGTCATCGCCATGGTCAACATCATCGCCATCGTCATTGCTTTCTCGCGAACCATTTACAGTCCCGTCCCCCAGTGGAGCAAATTCATCGGAGGGGCCTTCTTTAGCTTCTGGGTGCTGGCCCACTTGTACCCTTTTGCCAAGGGTTTGATGGGGAGGAGACGAAAGACGCCCACCATTGTTTTTGTATGGTCCGGTCTTATTGCCATTACCCTATCACTTCTTTGGATCGCTATTAGTCCACCCAAAGCCGGTACTACGACGGCAGATCAACTCGTTTCTGGCGGTGACACCTTTCAATTTCCATAGCTATGCATGGTAGATAGATAGATTACACACACACACATATATATATATACTTCGTATGTATGTAATAGATCATCAAGGTAAGTAGTTGCTATTAAGGGATCAGATCTTCCAATTATTAATTATATCATTCACTTTTCTTTTAATTAAATTTGTTGTGAAGGATTTTGTGTGCTTTGAGGAATATATAGGACTATATATATAAAATATATTACAAGCAAAACATTGTTAAGAAAGTGCAGTAAAACATAGATAAAGTGCATCAATATAAATAATTATGTTTGTCCTAAAATATGACTTATTTGATTTTAGGTAAACAACTTCCCCAATTAAGAGTGAATTGAAGAAAAATGTTTGCCTTATTCGTATACTTTGTTTAGATCTTAGTCTTAGTATTAAATGAATTTTGTGAACATTGAAGGAATTAAAATAATATGACCATTCAATTATATTGTTGAAGGAATTAAAAGCAAGTTATAAGTATATCCCTGAGACCACATGAAACCTCATAAGATTAGCAGCAGCACACAAAGAATAGAGAAGTACGTACAGTTGAAACCAAGTTGGGCAGCATGCAGGCAGTAGGATTGTGAAAGCTGTGACAAATTTCAAATTGAACGCCATTCTCACAGGGGCAGGGGCAGGGGCAGGGGCGGCGATTATTTATGAGGAATCAATTTGGGGGTCATTTCAGCAGCCTCAGTTTTCATTTCAATAAGAAGAACGTACATTATGCATCTTTTCAAGCAAGTGGAATCGGACTCCAATCTCGCTCGCTCATCTCCTCTCATATCTGCCATTCAGGAACCGTCTAGCTACGACGTCGGCTTCAATTTCCTTCTCTCATGGAAGAAGCAAATGCGGTGGCCGGTGGGACGGCTCATTTTGCAGCTTAGTGCTGGGTCCGAAAAACAAACCCGATCAAATTAAACTGAATCGCACCCAAATAAAACCGAACCGCTAAGAAACCGAAACCGAATATAAAAAAGGGAAATTATCATTGAACTCCCTTGAGGTTTGATGTATTATCAATCACACCCCTATACTATCAAAAATATACTCTTACCCCCTCCCTATCTTTAATGATGGTTAAATAACTTCTAATCTATATTTAGAGAAAATTATAGGTATAATTTCATAATTTTTCGTTATGTCCGCGTTTAATACTATAATTGTATTCAATCACAAATCTGATCGGGTAATTAATAAATTTATCCATATTAAAAACCTTTTTATCGGAAGTTGAACAAAATAAAATAAAAAAATGACTAAAACTGACCTCACTCTAGGTAGTTCATTTATGCCTTTGAATTTGTAAAGTGACTAACTTTACTCAATTGAAAATGATCAAAATATGCTAAATTTGTCAAAAGTTGAAAGAAATCAACTTAAATGAACCAAATTGACTCAAAAGTGATATTTACTACTCAATTAAAAATTGAATGCAAGAAATTCCCAACATGCACTATAGACACTTTGTTATCTCTGAAAGTGAGATCATTATAGGTATAGTAATAACTTGTAAATTAATATTTGACAAAATATGATCGTATCTACATGTAAATTATTGGTAAAGAAATTATAGTTTATGATGGGGTCCACACCCAAACTAATGAGTGCTAAATAATTAGGGCGGCGCATGACCTTATCTTCGGTTCCAATCTCCTAATTGATTTAGGTTCGCTTCTAATTAATAATTTAAATATTTTTAACTACCTATTTTTAACATTTAAATGGACTATAACTCATTTTAAAATGTTCTCAATGGTTTTAATGAAAAAATGAACGGAGTTAAAACATGGGCGCCAATCCCAGTCCCAAAAAGTGAGGCCTGAGGCCTCTTTTTCACCGGTCTGGTCTCGGTCCCAACCTAAAATCTTAATTCAAAAATCGGTCATTATATTCCCGTGTATTTTCCTCGTTAGAAAAGTTTCATCAAGATTTCTACAATCTCAGATATATTTCCGAACTTTTAAAAGTAACAGAGATTTATTGTTTTAAGTCGTACCTTTCGATTGTGTCTGTTACTATTCCTATAATTTTTCTCACATGTCGATGTAGTTATGTACCTAATAAATTTGTCAATAATAAGGATTATTTCATTAGAAAGTGTGTGTGCTTGCAAAAAAAGTATGGTGGAAAGGTTCTTAATACATATAAATTTATTAATTATCATATTAAATTTGCAAGTGAGAAAATTTATTAAACTAAATTTATACTTTTGCTAAACGCAATTAAGACTTACTAAACTTTCATTAAAGGATAAAGAGGGGGTAAGTGTATATTTTTAATAGTGCAGGGGTCTAGGTGATAATACGCGAAACCTCGAGGGAGGTCAATGATAATTTCCCTATAAAAAATCGAAACGAACCGAAGTTGTTTGGTTTGGGTTTGGTTTTTACCCTTCAAAACCGAACCGAACCGAACAAATCGAGCTATTTAAAATATAAAATTTATATGTTAAGTGTTAAGCATTAATTCTTATTAATCTTAATATCATCAATAGTCTTTGATTTTCTTGTGTTAGAGAAATAATGTTTGTGTTACGTTTAATTTAATTTAGTTTATAAATTCATTTACGCATTCATTGTCTTTAATAATGTAGCTATATTGAATGATGATAATATGTGTTTACTAGTTATTAGTAGTAATTAATTTTATTTTTAGATAACTTAAGGATTTTATATTGATAAAACAATAAATATTCATCTCAGCTATATCACATAGAACGTACATATTCATGAACTATTTTCGAACTACTCACAAACAAATTAAATCAATAATATATACATTTTTATCTATCTCGCATACTCATATAATTCAAGACATATTTATCTCACCTCACTTTTATTTTATTTGTTGTTGTATTGTGCTTGTATTCTTTATGTAATATGTTTGATCCCTCTAAGTATTATACCAATTTTAAATCAAGTGAGAATTTTTTGGTAAAAACCCGAAAAAACCGAAACCGAATCGAAACAAACCAAATCAATCAAACTGTGGTTCCAAGTTTTGTAGTGTAAAACCGAACCGAAACTGAATCGAATTTTTAAATTTGATTCTATGTTTGGTTTTAGGTCAAAACCGAACCGCAAGAACCGAATCCACCCCTATTGCAGCTAACGAATCCTTCACACTAGTACTACGTATGTCTTATACTCTTATTCATATCATTAAAATGGTCCCTCAATTATCCATTTCATTAAAATGGTCCATCAGTTATCCACTAAATTAAAATCTCGGAACTGTATTTCTGAGATTTCAAATTACACCCCCGAGTTCACCAACTTACATTAAACGTCGTCCCCGCCGTCAGAAGTCCAACTAACAGCAGACGGACTTCCATTTAATATGGGGCCAAGGCGTAAATTAACTTCCTTAAACGTTTAAATAGTTAAACCTACTTAAAATATGTATAAATCAACCTTCATTCGCACAGTTCTTTTCGTCCAGCCGTGAGATTTGTCTAGGAGCTCCGCAAACATCAAACGATATTGGCCTAGATTGGTTGAGGTTCGAAGTAATTTATTCGTTCTTCCCTTTGGCGTTCATGATTTCTGTATTTCTTATTTTCTTTGTTTGTTACTTGAATTGGATAAATAGGTTTTGTTCTTCCCTTTGACCTGAATTTTTTAGCCTTGAACATGGTTTGATTCATTTTGCAGGAACAAAAATGTTGACAAATTATGGGATCTATGTCATAGTTGTAGGAGTCCAAACCATTTCTTAAGTGAATGCCCTAAGAAGAAGAACTATCCTGCGTGTTCAAATGGCATTCAAAGATGCGCTTGGTTACAACAAAATTTGGTAAAAATAAGGGGCGATTGTTTTATAATTGCACACAATGCAACTAGTTCAAATGGAAAATGGGTGAAAGCAGTAACAATGGAAGCCACAGTCCAAGCCTTGAAGGTGAAGGTGGTGTAGATGACAATGTCAAAGGTAGTGTTAGTCAACTTATTGAAATGTTTGCTCAAGCAACAATGAATAAAGGTGGGGAAATGACACTTAAACTAAATGGGTGAAACACTAGTCTAGTTTACATGGGTGAAAACTAAACTACCAACTAATCTAAGCTCTATAGGTTTGTATGAATCATAGCTGATCTAAGAGCATTAGATGAGTGGGGTGAGAATCGAAGTGGTGAAGGGAAATCAGCTGGCTGGAATGTCTTCGTGTGAATCTTGATTCCCTTCTATTCCACTTGGCTCTTCCACATGTTTCTTCCCGCACTCCTTCTGTAATTATAGACTTGTTGTTGAATCTCCACGCAACGTTGGCTGAGGAGCTCAATTTTGACCGTTGCTTGATCTACTTGCTTTGTTCCACTTGACTGAGGCAGCATGATTTGTTCTTTGTCTTGTTGTGACACAGACCAAATTCTCAACTCAACTTGATTCCTCACAAATATAAAGATGTAATATCTTTATTTCTTTTGCTCGTTGAAATTTAGTATATAAGCCGAGTGAAGTTCAATGCTTCCTTACAAATAACAAATACATTCTGGCAATAGTGGATATGATGAGCTCTGGAAATGAATGTTAGACACCCACTGGTCGTCTACGTTCATCAACACACGTATGTTTAGAGATTGGTTTGGAGAACAAAAATATCCATCACGTCCGAAGAAGAAAGCATGTGAAGAAGAGGCAAATAGTTGGTTGAAAAAGATTATAAGAAACCGAGAAAAAAAGGTTGAAGACGTGAGAGTCTGGAGATGCCTTGCGTGTGATATGTGTAGAGTCCTTACAGTAAAATACGGAACCAGTTACAATACATAAAACTTCCTTATTTATAGGAGTATTATTTAATAGAAACCCATTGATCTACTTGCTTTGTTCCACTTGACTGAGGCAGCATGATTTGTTCTTTGTCTTGTTGTGACACAGACCAAATTCTCAACTCAACTTGATTCCTCACAAATATAAAGATGTAATATCTTTATTTCTTTTGCTCGTTGAAATTTAGTATATAAGTCGAGTGAAGTTCAATGCTTCCTTACAAATAACAAATACTTTCTTTTAGTAAAATAATCTTATAAGAAATTTATAATGTGATAAAAATCTCTGATAAAATTAATTTCTATCAATTTGTTATTTTGACTGCAAGTTGGTCCTTTGTTTAATTGATTTTGTGCTAAGAGAAGAGTTTAGTTGATTTCAGATGCCTTGGCTGGAAAACCAGTATTTCAACCGGTTGGAAGAATTCAGTATGCTGCTGAATTCTGGTTTTTCAGTTGGCTTTCGTTTTCAATGAATTCCAGTTAACTATTTTCGCACCTTTTCTTTTTTATTCTTTTTCTTTTTGTTTTGGTACATTTCTTCTGTTTTAGTACACTTTGCTTTTTATGAGTACTTTATCACTAATAGGAGCACATTACAATAAACAAAAGTAGAACATAACAAGGATATAGTCTAATACAGGGATAAATAAAAAGAAGTGACATCATCAAACAATTACATAATAATCATCAAAATATAGGGGACATAACAAGGATGTTTTCTATTACATTGTTTTCAGACCCATACCAGATCAGTTCAGACCAGACCAGAGTTAAATAAATCAGATCAAATCGAACTTAAACACTCCAAACCAGATCGGACTTACATAGTTATAAAATACACAGAGACCAGACATTTATCGAACCAGACCAGAGCAGACTTTAACCAATCAGATTAAACCAGATCGATTCAGACCAAACCAGCAAATTTCAGCCCAAAAGAGAACGTCCTTACTCATCATCATAGGTTAAAAATTAAATGTCAATGAACTAATATGACTATATGTTTTAATATGCTAAATAGTACTTCGTATATCGAATTACCATTATGGCATCTTATATAATATTTTTATGTTCCAAAAAGATTTGCTAAATTGACTTTTCTTGATCAATTTTGACCAATTATATTTTTAAATACGAAACTACTTTAAATATAAAAGGGAAAAGTTTTTCTTCAGCTCCTCTTTTGTTATTTCCCTACTTTCATCTTCGTTTTTTATTGAAGATTCGACCCACCTCTCTGTTCTCGTTTTTTTAGTTGAATTGGAAACACTTGTACATATCAGACTCTTCTCTCGTCCTCTTCTATTCGGGACATTCATGATTCATCTTTTGTATTGTAATATTGGTGGTGCCAACTTCAATTTTCTCCTTCACAACCAAGTATTAGTAAATCGCTGACGCAATCCATTAACAACTACAGAATTATTGTCAAACAAGCTCTTTGAAGGTAAGAGAGCTTCTATTCTCTGAACAAGCAGGTACAAACATTGGTGTGTTTGGGTGAAAGTGTGAAAGTAGTTTCAAGGGCCCCAAAAATGCTTCTAGAAGCAGTTTTTTAGAAGATGAGGGAGACTAGTTTCAGCGCAGATTATACTATACATCCGGGTGTATATGTACACCCGGTTTTTAAATGATGTGGCAGCCATATTCCGTCTTTTCTTTCTCTTCTTCAGCCGTTCTCTTTTCTTTCTTTTTTTCCGGCGTTCTCTTTCCTTTCTTTTCTTCCGCCATCCTCTTTCCTTTGTTTTCTGCCGCCATCCTCTTTCCTTTGTTTTCTGCCGCCATCCTCTTTCCTTTGTTTTCTGCCGCCATCCTCTTTCCTTTCGTTTCTATTTTCTGCCGCCATCCATTTTGATTGTTACGTTTTAGGGTTGTTTTTTTGTTTGTTTTTCAGTACTTTTACTGTTAGCTATTTTACTTTTCTTTTGTTTTTCCTTTTACTTTTTTGCTTCTTTTCGTTTCTTTTGTTGTTTAGTTCTTCTTTTTTATACATTATACTAAGCAAATTAGAAATGAGTTTTACCTTATACTCAAATGAGTAAAACGTCTAAAAAACGAACATACATAAATGAGCTTTTGAATTTTTGAATACTCATTTTGTAAATTATGTATACTCATTTAGTATATCTGTTGTGCTCATTTTTAAAATGTTTTAGCAATGTTCATTTCAAAAGTCTCATATTACATTATTAGATTTATATAAGAGTTGATTATAGACACGAGACCACAAATCATGATACTCAATCGCAGATTCTAATACTCAATAACACTCAATAACGGAGGTTTGATGCTCATTGAAAATGTCTTGATACTCAACGAATAAAACTTATATTTTTCATATCAATGCTCATCTTGTAAGTTACATATGCTCATTTATATAGGTCTGGTGCTCATTAAAAATTTATTAATGCTCATTTAATACGAATCATTATTTTCATCTCAATATAGGAGGTTTGATGCTCAATGAAAATATAGTGATGTCCAATTAACACGATTTTTTATCAATGCGCATTGTGTAGCTACACATGTTCATTTGGTACTAATTTTATGCTCATATGTAAAATGGCATATCAATGCGAGTGTAAAATGTTCAACGAAAAATTTACAATGTTCATATCAATGCTCATCTTGTAAGTTACGCATGCTCATTTGTATAGGTCGAACCCTCATTAAAAAGTCATTAATGCTCATTTTACAGAAATCATGATTATCATCAATCTCAATAGAGGATGTTGATACTCAATGAAAATGTCATGATGTTCAAATAACAAAGCAGCTAATAAATTCATTAATACTCATTTTGTAAGTTACGTATGCTCATCTGGTAGAGATTTTATGCTCATTTTCTAAATGTCATATCGATGCATTTTTTAAAGTACTATTTTACATTAATTCACATATTGAAATTCACAGAAGTTGATTATAAATATAATTTAATAAAATTTTATAAAAGAAAAAATAACAAAAAGAAAGTGAATTAGAAGTTATGAAGCGGAGATCAAAATTCTCAATATTAGACTCCTAATACTCAACAGAATGGGTATGATGCTCATTAAACGTTTATTATTGCTCATTCACTAGAAACCGTGGATTTCATCTCAATAGCGGATGTTTGATGCTCAAATATTAAATGTGAATATATAAAACGTGAAATGAGTATCAAAAAGTTCAAAATGAGCATTACGCCAATATGCATGGATATGACATTTAAGTTGTCTCGTGTAATGCTCACTTTAAAATGAGCATTATATCAATATCAAATGAGCATATCTAATTTACGAAATGAGCATAGAAAAAATTTAAAAGCTCATTTAAAATCTCGAGTACGCTTAAATATCAATTTGTATATTCAGTATGATCAACAGAATAGGTCTGGTGCTCATTAAAAGTTCATTATTACTCAATCTCCAGAAGTCGTGATTTTCATCTCACTAACACCATATAAAAAAATTATAAACATATTTATATAAAGTAATAGTATGATTCATAGATCAAATAAATACTTCAAAAATATGAATTAGTCTTTTAATATAGTAATAATGAGCAAAAGCAAAAGAATAGTCAATATTATAATTACTATTAATAATACGCAGTATGAAACTATATAGGATAAGTAAAATAAATGAAGCAATTATCTCAATAAGACAAGTCAGCGAGATGGTTGGAAGGCTGCTTATCCTACTTCATGCCGTGGGATCGAATCCCGTTGGGGTTTTTAATTTTTTTTAGATTGGAATTTTTTTACGATATAGGGACTCTAGTTTCAGAAAACTGATTCTAATTTTATTTCTACTTTTAAAAAAGAAGAAACATAACCGAACAGTCGAACACCCCATAAGACTATTTTTTAACTTTGGATGTGTTTATTGTTTTGAATATGTATTTTGTCATTGGGATGGTTGTTGATTTATAACATTCCTACTTTTGTACTAGTACTATTATCATGTACGAGTACATTTTAAAAGTAGCCGTTTCAATTTCAAATAAGATTTTTCAACAAATGAATGATTGCAAATTAAAAGTGAGCATAAGAGTATGCCAATAGTTCTTGGAAAAGACACGAATAAATGAATGAATCCGAGAAGAATACAATTCATCCCACCACTTGTTTGGATGATGCCTCATCCGTCGAGTGCGTTTGGACCGGCGCAGGCCTTGAGAATCGGGCTCCATACCCACTGGACCATGAACTTGCGGCCCATTACCCCCCTCATGTTGTACGTACTCCCCTTCTGGTCCGTCAAAACCTGCCCAATGTACCCGCCGCCGCCGCCGGTGCCGTACAACCCCTCGCACAGATCCCCAATCTCCGTCGGCGCCGTAGGGTCGTCTCCGGCGTACCACGCGTTCACCAGGGGGTTGGATGAAAGCTCCGCCAGCTCGTGCGCTATCACGCTGATCATCCCGTCCACACCCACGTCCCCGTTGGGGGCGGTCAACGCGGCGGCCCCCATGTACCCGGGTACGGAGAACGGGTAGGCGCAAACTTCCGGGCACTGCTTTCCGGAGTTCCCGATCCAAGCGTAGGGCAGGGTGTATCCCACCTTGGAGGCGAAGGTGAAGTAATGGAATCCGCAAACCGCCCTGCAGAAATCCTGAACAGTGACGTCGACGGAGGTGAGGACAAGGTAGATCCCGTTTTTGTGGTCGATGGAGAAGGGCTTGGATCGGACCGCCTCCGCAATGACGTCCTGGATGGAGAGGCGGGTGAGTTGGAGGCCCTGGGAGTAGCGGCGGTCGGAGTACTCGTCGGCGACGCGGAGGGAGCGGGATATGTTTGCGCCGGTCTGGTCGGTGTAGAGAGTGACGGTGGCCCACCACTGGGAGACGGAGGGGGAGGGGGGGTCGGAGGCGGAGATGGAGCGGAGGAAGTCCTTGATGAGGAGCTGCTGGGAGGGGGCCCAGCTGCCGTACCAGACAAGATAGATGTTAATCGGAGATGAGAGGACGGGGCCCATGTGGTAGCGGAGGTCGACGAGGTCCGATGAACCCTCGTACTTGTTGGACACCGTGAATGCTCTGGTCGGAAGCTTTGGATTTGAAATCCCACTCCCCCCTGGTCTGCCGCGTGAAGCAGACTGGACCGGATAGGCCGATACAGCTAAGAAGAAGAAGAACAAACAGAACAAGAGCGATGCAGTGTTACCGGTCATAATGTAGAGCAGAGCGAAAGAGGTGGGGTGCATCAGAGCAATCGGTAGGTAGGAAGGGAGATCGATATATATATATATATATATATATATCCGTCGTGGCGGTGGGAGGAAGTAGGCTGGCTCCAGCTATAAAATCATTTTCCCCAATTCTTAATATCTTCCAAGTAGGTCTGGTCTATCTTTAGCGTTGAGATCATTGTGCCTGCATTCATTGGGATGAAAATATCCCATTTCGACTATTCACCCTACATGTTGTCCAACTTTGAAATAATGTACTTCTCAAAACACTATCCCTCTTTCCCAAATGATAGTCCTATATCTCCTTATTGGGATGTCCCAAAATGATGATTTTGTTTTCCTTTTTTGGTAAAGAACTAAAAGTGGATTACCAATATTATTTGTGCGTGTTGGGTTATTGGGCTTCGTCCCAATACCCGGCCCAGAATAGGTAAGGGCCCAAGAGTAAGGTCAGCCCAAAGAGGAACTTGGTCTAGACTTGAGGAAACCCGAACGGGCAATCGGCCACCAAAGGAAGGACACCGTTCGGTATAACCCGAACAACCCAATTATCCTACTTGGAAGTTGGAACAAATAACAAACATCAGCTTTGTCCATCATTCTTGGAGTCTAGAGACCGATCGGGGAGTCCGCAAGTGGCAAGTTGCATTAAATGCTAGAGTATGGCGGTAGCAAGTGGAAACATGGGTGCTCAAGTGGCAAGGTCAACAGCCAACCGGGTTCGGCCACGTCATCACCCACCAACCCCCCCCCCCCCCCCCCCTAGTATAAATAGGCGCATTAACTACATTGTAAAGGGTTAGCGTTTTGATACTCAGAGCCTTGTATCACCTCTCTAGTCTTTGTATTAGCAATAGCATCAAGGCGCCGTTCGGCAGTTCTTGTGTAATCAGTGAATTACTCCAATACAAATGGGCTTACTGAGTGCAGTCTATTCACATTTTTTATTTTAAACACTTTTACACTTAACACATCGTCCTTAATATCCAAAGTTTGTGTTGGGCTTTTGAATCTGCGGGACTAAACCTCAACAGTGCGTAATAAATATTTTTGCTTAGGGCCTCCGAAATGCTGAAGACACCCCTGATCGTAGCCCATGAATTCCACAACCGTTGTCGCACAACATCATCTTCCACAACCACCACCATCTATCGCCCACAACTTCTCCATCTTCTTCCCCCCACACCCCCCCCCCCCCCCCAACTGCCTTCGTGTGTTGCTCGTCACCCACAAGTTCTGCCATCGTCGCCGTCCACAACTTCCCCAACCGATGTCACACTCCACCAATCGTCCATAGCTTCTCCAATCCAACGGTCACCACCTGCTGCTCACAACTTCCCTAGCCATTATTGTGTGTCACCTTGTCACCCACAACTTTCGTCCATCGTCTAAAACTTCTCCAACTGTCACCTGTCACCCACAACTTCCCCAACCGTTGTTGGCCACCACCTGTCACCCACAACTTCTCCAACCACCGTTGTTTTCCGCCCATCGCCCGCAACTTCCTCAACCACCACTGCCCGTCACTCACAACTTCCCCAACCATCGTCTCCCACCTCATGTCGTTCATGACATCCCCAACCACCAACGTTTGCCGCCAGTCCCCTTCCCCAATCGCCCGCCGTTGTCACATTCTCCAACCGTCGCCGCCCGTCCCCCACCACCAAAACATTCCCCAATCGTTGTCGCCCACTGTCTATCAAAAGAAATGAAATTAGGGAAAGAAAATGAGAAAAAAAGAATTCGTTTCGAGACACAAAACCAGGGGAGAAGAAAGTGAACGGGTAGAAGAAGAAAGAAAGAGAAAAAGTAATGTCACTTTGGTGTCCACATTAGTTGATTCAATTGACAGGGTTTTATATATTGCTCTTATTTGCTTAATTTATTGTGTTTACTTTTGATCAATTTTAGTTTGATGTATTGTATTGTTTTAGTGAATTGGGAGACTACATGTCATGTCTATCATCCTAACTACTTTTTGAGTAAAGTGTTTTAACTACTTTTTTTTAATCATAAAAGAGTGCTCGTTATATTAAAATTAAGAACACATACAAGACAACCTTCAGACAGAATTTACAGATCCAATCGTGAACCCTAGGAGTAGACTTAGAGTCAGCCACCTCATAGAAAGAAACATGACTCGCTAAACCTGAAACGGGCAAATTTAGGCCTAAAACGACCAGAATCGAAACTCTGCCCATCAAAAGAACTCCAGAAATCCAAACATTCAAACCAAATCTACTCGGAGTAAAACAGAAACAATTGCTATTAAAGAGAAAATAATACTGAAATAAAAAATTTCCACAAAGCTCGACCTGGTATGGAGGTGGTTCCGGAGGAGGACGAGCTGTTGCAATATGGGTGAATACCAACTCTTTCACTGTCGGGATGGCCGACCAAGGCTTCACGATCTAGCCTCGATACAACCTCTCAGCCGCACCTCATTCATCCGCCAACGCTATATCATCCGCATAGTTGCAATTTCAAGCGTTAGAACACTTAAAATCAGTATAATTTGCCGCTCCAACCCCATATTGATAGGGGCGGCGGAAAATCTCAACTCCTACAAAGAGGGGAGACAGCAGCTAGGGTCCCTCTCTCTTAGTGGAGAAGAGAGAGTTTTTATTGTACAACATTTGTGGGTTCCAACTACTTAATTAGTAATCTCATTATTGAATCATAGTTAAAACATGGGCTTATGATAAACACTATACGAAGTACTAATATACTCATATTAGTATAGACGAACTCTCAATTAATTGACTAACTAAATCATAAAAGCTATTACACATCACATAATAAGTTTATAATGCAAATTCAAACGGCGGTCTGTCCCTGGCGGCGTCTAGGGTTTTGATTTTCCGGTGGGGTCTGTAGCACCTTTCTGCCGGTGGTAAGGTAGGGGTTTTTTCCCCAGGATTTTGAAAGCTGTTTTTTCTTTTTGAGATAGAACTTCAGGCGTTTTTTTTTTCGCCTCAGTTTTTCTGGATTAGTGCGTACAATCTTAGACATGAGTGTTGTTAGTTGGAATTATCGAGGTTTGGGGAATCTTGCTACGGTTCAGGTTTTGATAGATATGGTAAGATCAAGGAATCCGTCAATTGTTTTTTTGATGGAAACAAAGGCCAAGAGACAGAGGTGTGAAGAAGGAAGGGAAGCGCTGGGTTTCAAGAATTGTTTTGCAATTAAAAGTAGTGGACAGAGTGGGGGTTTGTGTTTGCTATGGAAGGATGGGCTGATTCTGGACATCAAAAGCTCCTCTTCATACTTCATAGATTGCAAGGTCAGATTGGAAGCAGGTGAACCAGAATGGCGCCTAACAGGATACTATGGTTTTCCAGAGAGGAGGCGTAGGAGAGATTCATGGAGGTTACTCAGGCAGTCAGTGAACATATCAAATTCACCTTGGATAATCCTTGGGGACTTTAACATTATCGTGTTTGAGAACGAGTGACGAGGCAGGATCCCGCAACCGCAATGGCTACTAAGGGGATTTTGTGAATTTTGAAGGATACCAATGGACGTGGGAAGAGGGGCGAGGAACGGCATGGTGGCTGGAGGAAAAACTAGATCGCATATTAGCAAATGAAGGTTGGTTGGATCTTTTCGGAAGTGTTTATGCCACGTCAGTTGAGGGCCCTTCAAGTGATCATATGATGTTATTTATGCGGGCTGCTACAATGGGATTCAAGGGGTGGTAGGAGATATTTTAAGTTTGAAAACATTTGGCTCAAGGAGGAAGAGTGTCGGTTGGTAGTTCAAAAAGCATGGTAGAATCAAGTTAGTTCTATGGGGCAGAAATTAATAGAGTGTTGCCAGGATCTTGAAGTTTGGAGCAAAAAGAGAAGATTGGGTTTCCAAGCAAGAATTGATTTTCTAAAAAAGCGGTCGGCTTATCTTCGATCTGGGGGAGGACAATGGAATGCTGGAGAGTTTCACAAAGTCAAAGCGAGTTTGATCAGTCTCCTTCACAGGCAAAACCTTTTTTGGAAACAAAGGGCTCAAAATATTTTCACCAGGCTGTTAAGCAACGAAGACGCAGGAACAAATTAAAAGGAATTCTTTCAGAAAATGGAACGTGGATAACGGATATGAAACAAATGGGGCATGTTATTGTTAGTTCTTTTGGGGAACTGTTTACATCCAACAGGGGCAGATTAGAGCCAGGTTCGTTGCAAGGTTTGGCGCAAGTATCTGGGCAGCAGAATTTTGATCTTTTGCGGCCTATCACTGACAAGGAGGTTAAGAAGGCGGTGTTTGCAATGCATCCGGATAAGGCTCCGGGGCCGGACGACCTAAGTAGCACGGAAACGAGAAACGAGAAAGGTGAAACGGAAAATGGGAAACGCGAGAAACGTAATTTCTTAAAAATATAGGACACGAAACGTAATTATAAAATATAAGGATATATTTATAAATATTTTTTAATATATGTACACAAGTTTTTCCATATGCACATGTTTTTTTTAATATAATTTGTTTAGTAACCAAATAATAAAATCACTCTACATGTTCGAATTTAGATATTATTTCATATTAGTACATAATTAAACATAAAATGTACGGAGTAATACATTTCTAGCAATACATTGCGTTACGAAATGTAACAAGTGTTGCCGCTGAGAAATAGGGGTGGGCAAAAATACCGAACCGGACCGGTATGGTACCGGACCGATAAATGCGGTTTGAAACGGATCTCAAAATTTTTGTCCCGAACCGGACCGAACCGGTTCCAAACAATGCCATGACCGGTTCTCATAAAATGAGAACCGGTACCGGACCGAACCGGACCGAAGTATGGTTTATTAAATTTGTACTACTATAGTTTATCTAAAATATATTAATTACCTCATCCGTCCCAAATTGATTTGCAAAGCCAACATTTTTTTGTCAAAGTTAATGTTAAGTTCTTGATAGTTAATACAATTTTCATTAATTAAAATTTACATATTTAGAAACCACATTAAAATCTCTCTAAAGTTGCAAAATCCAAATTAAAATATACGAAGTACGGAGTA